GGATTCTAGTCTCTGCGGTGAAAAGAGCGCGGATTGCCCATGGTGTAATTTTGCGCTAAAACAAACAAAAACCATGTTGCCGTCTTTTCATTTGCTGCTCGGAAGTTAATGGTCTTGTTACTAGAAATGTAGTTTGTCCTTCAACGCCCCAAAAGTACGTTTAAACGCGGAAATATTTGGATTATTAGGACAAAGTTAAAAGTTTCCGATGAAATATTTTACGATTAAGAAATACGTTTATAAGAAATTGCACCATTACAACATATATTGTAGTTATATCTCATAAACTTGACCGCTAGCTAACTTTTTTTGGTTATAAACAAAAGTCATTATTGACATATATTTTAGTCAAGTACTTAAAAGTTAAACAAAATTTATTTTTTCGTCGTAAGATTAAAGGTAAAAGCTCTTTCTTTCTTTTCTGCCCCCCCCCCAGTAGCACAGCGGTATGTCTGAGGGCTTACACCGCTAGAAACCGGGTTTCGATACCCGTGTTGGGCAGAGCACAGATAGCCCATTATGTAGCTTTGTGCTTAACGTAAAACAACCAGCCAACCCTATAGTCTATGAATTCAAAATTACGGACGGCTATGACAACAACAAATTTCATTTCTATCCTTCCTCCCCTGAACTTTTTTTTCTATTCCTGTAAACTCCCAGTGGAGCATAGGGCCGCAACAACACCTCACCAACGGAAAGTTGTTGTTGCAGTTACTTGTAGCAGGTTGGTTTTTACGGGGTGGAGTTGCTAGCCCCGCGCCCAACCCTCCTCCTTTCTCATCCTGGACTTGGGACCAGGCAATGGCGGAGGTGAGCATGTTTGGTGTGACGGGGATTCGAACCCTCGGATTACGAGTCGAGCGCCCGAACCACCTAGCCATGCCGGGCCTCCCCTAAACTTACTTGTGTACAAATGTACAAGAACTGACACAAAACGTGATTCATCTGTTGAGCCCAATATATTTTTTCCCTTAACGATTCTTTAGCAAAGATGGTCGGATAACACAATATGAGGTTAGAGTAGTAAACGATTTTCAAACATGGCTGACTCTAATGAAGAGAAGCATTTCTTTTTATAATTAGTTAAAAATACAACACTGAGAGTTTAATCCAAGATCTGTATTTGTGAGATACCCCATCCTCCTCTCACCAAAATGTATGGTGTAATCAGAGTTCATAACCGGTGTAAACGAATGTTTCCCATAAAAACATATGAGTGTATATATATATATATATATATGTATATACAGAGGTTCAGTACGTTAATTTAAAACGAATTTGGAGTCTCACCACGTCATTAGAGTGTATGTTACTACGCCCTGTCATACTCTACCTGACGACCATCCATCTTGATATTGGTCCTGAAGCGTAGTTTATAGTTTAAAAGGATTCGTCGTAAGTCTTTCATGTTCAAAGCACATTACTCCTCTGAGCATGCTTTCCATAATCTATCTAGTTTGTGAGGATGATGGTATTCCCAGAGTACATTTCAACACTCCGATTGCATAAAAATCTATAGGTGCTTCATCTGCGGACTTGACTGGTATTTCTTTATATGTAATATAATGAACACTTTTTTTCATTCTCCAGCTGCTTGAGGCACGCGAAAGTTGAAAGGATATGTCGTGGAATCAACCTATTGAAAAGTGACTTGTGTCACTTTTCCAATGGAGATCCTTCTAGATTATGTTGCGTATGGCTACTTGGGGAACGTGTGCTGCTTTTGTCTTTGACCTGTGTATTTGCGGATCCTCATCAGATACAATACGCCGTATTTTGCTCACTACAGGTGGATATGACTTGTTGAATATCTCGTTCTGGGTGGTCCTGGTGCTCGAACTTGATCCATATTTCTTTGTTTTCAATGCCATTTTATACAAAGGGATATCCACAGCTGGAAAATTCTAAATTTCCGATTTGAACACATACATCTGTATGATCTGAGTGTATTAATATTTTGCATCGTAAAGGGCTGTTGCTTGTTTGTTTGTCTGTAATTAAGCACAAAGCTACACAATGGCCTCAGTTGGAAGACAGTTTATCTAAGTAAACTGTTAACTCCTTACTCTACTGCGGCTCATTTTCATACAAGAAAAGAGAAGCAATCCCAAAATATTTGTATTTTATACCTATTTTATCCACTGTCTTCGTGTTTATTTATACCTACTTAGTTAAGTGACAATTTTAGTCATACTTCATAGTTGATATCTTGAATGAATCTCCAGTTATTTATCAGATCTATTCAAGAACTCGATCAAATATTCAATTCACTTGAGTATACTGCATGATGTAGGATGAAAATTTAATTGTTTTACATATTCAACAACTTATGACCTTTTATAATTATTCAGAATTATAAATTTACTAGCTGGAGTATCCGTCCGTTGGACGAGTAAAATAAAACCTCGTTTGTAACCGTGGGAATAAACATTAAAAGTGCAATAAAAAATACATAAAGGTACAAATACTGAAAAGAAAGACATACCGTTTTCATGAATTCTAACAATGGTGGTTACTTAGTTCATTCTAATGCTGAGGGATATACAACATTGGTATTTTTTTCCCCGTATCATTGTGCCAAGTTGTACTGATCTGGTAGTTTTTCCAAAATTAGATATGAAATTAGATGGGGAGTCCAAACCCCCCTCTCCATGACCTTCCTCTCGTCATTCTATATCACTGTGTCAAGTTTGGTGCTGATTGATCAAGAAATGTGGGAACGTATAAGGAACAGATACACAGACATATTGGCGTTTATTTATATAGAGTGTCAAAATGTACAAATTACTTTTGGCAGTTCCTTTGTGGTTGTAGGTTTACTGAAATAAATCTGCTGGCTAAAAACTTGTTCGTGAATGTCCGGTAAGCTAAGCTAGTTTAGTTGTTCATATCTAACTGCATGTTTAAAAATATAAAAATCGAAAATAACGGAAAAATATCCAATTTTTCACTGAAAACAATAACGAATTTTGTAGTTTGTAATTCATTGTGAATTCTGTGAGCTGTAAAGATGTTTGAAGACTAGACAAAATGAACAGTGTCAACAATATTTACACGATTTGAGTCGTATACATTTATTTGGTATTCCCTGTATCAACAAGGCTCATGTACATTTTCCTGTATAACACAACACAACAAAGATATAAGCTTATTACATACATTGTTTTATATACTATGGTAGTAATGACATGCTTGTTTTCGTGCAAAGCTACACAATAGGCTATCCGCGCTCTGTCCACTACAGGGAAACTAACCCTGTATTTTAGCGATGTATGTTTTGTTTGTTTTTTGAATTTCGCGCAAAGCTACACGAGGGCTATCTGCGCTAGCCGTCCCTAATTTGGCAGTGTAAGACTAGAAGAAAGGCAGCTAGTCATCACCACCCACCGCCAACTCTTGGGCTACTCTTTTACCAACGAATAGTGTGATTGACCGACACATTATAACGCCCCCACGGCTGAAAGGGCGATCATGTTTGGTGGGACGGGGATTCGAACCCGCGACTGCGGTCATTATAATAATTCAGAGTTTTTTACAGCCCCCCCCCCATGGTTGTTCAGCGGTAAGTCTGAGAGCTTATAGGCAATAAATCGTGTTTCGATAACTACAGTGGACAGAGCTCTGTGTTTACATCAAGCAGGCAAATACGGACTTATAACGCTACGATCCGAGGTTCGATTCCTCGCGGTAAACACAGCAGATAACCCAATGTGGCTTTGCTTTAAACAACCAACCAACCCACTACTGATCGATTACCTTCAGTACAAATACATATATATATATATATAACCAAAAAGAAAACTGTTTTACCTCGTACAGTGGTCATAATTTTATATTTTAACTCATATGAAATCATGTTTCGTCTAAGGTGTTTTGTTTTCACAAAACCTTGCAGTCATTATCTTTGATATGTTACTGTAAATACTGACAAGAACGTTGGAACAAATAATTAATTCATTATATAAAAATTCGTTTTAATTGTTCTTATAAACAGTTTCCTTTTCATACTAGTATTGCCCTCCGGTGGTACAGCGGTAAGTCTGTAGGCTTATAACGCTAAAAACCTGATTTCAACACCCGTGGTGGACAAAGCACAGATAGCCCATATGTAGCTTTGTGCTTAACTACAAAGAAACAAAAACTGGAATTTCCAATAAACATCTCCTTTCAATGTTGCCCGGCATGGCCAGGTGGTTAGGGCACCCCATTCGCAATCATTAAAAATGGGTGAAATACTTTGTGGTATGGCACGGATTCAAATCTGCGCCCTAACATTTTCATCCTTTATGTTATATTTAATTTTGGCCATCTGTTTATTTTGCTTATATATATATATATTGTCCTATGATCGTGATTTCCGTGTATATTTAGTGCTGAATGGAAATACAAAGTGTTCCAGAATTACGTTTTATCGATAGTAACTCCTTGACATTTCGTGCATGCTGAGATATGTCTCCTTTGGTCTAATGTAGCATAGCAGCAGAGGTCCAAGCATCTTGTCTCTGAAACACAATCCCCCATTGGTTCAACAGTAAGAGTTCTGGCTTACATCGCTAAATCTGAAGTTAATCGCAACTTTTTCTCCGTTTTAAATATCTATGAAATTAATATCTATATAAGAAAATATGTAAAAAGATTTGTTTGTTTGTAATTAAGTACAAAGCTACACAATGGGATATCTGTGCTCTGCCCACCACTGGTATCGAAACCCGGATTCTAGTGTTGTAAGTCCGCAGACATACCGCTGTGCCGCTGGTGGGAGTGTAAAGAGATAGTAATACATTCCATACATGTTAGTGATCCAGACGTTAGTATGAGGACTTGTAACGTTAAAAATCTTTGTTCTAAACAATAATCAAACACGTTGGGGCTCAAAAACAATGATGTTGAGACAGTCTTTTGCGAGTTTTGTAGGACCAACCATTAAAATAATAATTGTTTCATCAGTAAGTACACCTTGACTATTCTATTAGGAGTTTAGATTTTATCATTCGTTAATTAAGTATGTTTTATTTTTTCAATATAATACTTCCGGTAATATGTTTTCCTTATGTTAAGCCACGTTAGCTACATTGTAAATGTTCGATCTTGCCGGACTTCATGTTCAGAATTCGGCCGATTTTTCCGCCACCAGTTACTTAATGTTGAATTTCCCGCGCTATTTCTTCGTGGATTCTGTATTTTGGGAGTAAGTACAGAAAATGCCGATAGGCGTCGCCTCCGTTCTTTACTGATGAGGACCTTCGAGAGACAAGAGAAAGATAAAATGCGTAAGAATGAGGCTTAAGTTTATGGAAAAATGTGATCCAATTTTGTATATAGATCGATATATTTTGAAGAAAATCACAATGCAATGGTCTTATGTTTTATTTAAGGTAAAATGTTTCAGTTCCTAAAATGTATAAAATGTTCGTGATTTGTGTGAAATAAAAACATTACAGTGATAAACTTTAAATATATCTATGTTATAAAATGATTGAAAACAATAAAAAAATCTTTCCTTTCCTTCAGTGAAATAGGTTTTATTGGACAAAACTCTTGATACGATACTAGGTGCAGTTAGAAGTGTTAAAACAATTGGATGCCCACAACCTATTAACCGTGAGTAAAGTATTGGTGGTAGGTTTCTAATATGATTGTCTTTAATCACTTATGGTTAATAGGTAACTATTGGTAGAAACCTACCACACAATCATAGTTACCTATTAACCATAAGTGATTAAAGTATTGGTAGAAACCTACCACACAACCATAGTTACCTATTAACCATAAGTGATTAAATTATTTATAGAAACCTACCACACAATCATAGTTACCTATTAACCATAAGTGATTAAAGTATTGTTATAAACCTACCACACAATCATAGTTACCTATTAACCATAAGTGATTAAATTATTGGTAGAAACCTACCACACAATCATAGTTACCTATTAACCACAAGTGATTAAAGTATTG